ATTAAAGTTGTTAAACTAAACGAGTCGCTCGTGTACTCGGTTCAAACTAGCCAAACTCGAGCTTGTTTAGTAACGGGAAACTCAGCTTGTAAAGACTAAAAAGTATTAAGAATTACGACATAATTTATGGTTAGGCTCGATAATTCTCGATTTTGACTTGTTGGTATTGATTGCCAAACCGAGTTCAAACTCGTTTAATTAATTTTCGGGTCAACAAAGATTCGAACCCAATTTCGAGTATCAGGAGCTCGAGTTCGATTCGCGTTACACACCAAACATTATTAGAATAAAATTGCAATTATTTCCCACAAACTTAGATGAATTTCCATTATTTGCACATTGTTAGTGAATGAGCAACCACACAAAGAGGCTACACAAATTATTTTCCATTAATTTTCATATACACTTGTAATAATGTCATAGAGTCCATTGGTAATTAGTCACTTTCTGTATTCATGAAATTGAAGTGGAATTTATTAGATTTTGTCCTTGCTTTCAAAATCAAAGTTAGATTTTTTTTGCCCTTCTCCTTCTTGATCAATAAGGACTTGGCTTGTTTAACGCGTAAGACTTGCAGAGTTAAATTATTAAAACCCTATAAAGGAAGCAAGTTAAATAAGAAAAAAGTGAAAAGCAACACACATAAATATTGCAACAATTACTTTACTTCAACAGGTAGATAAACGTATATAATAAATGATTTACATATGTTATTATTATTATTTTTTTTTTACAAGAAAATGAGGTAAAACCGAACTATGAAAAAATCTTGCGAAGATAAGACACGCCGACCATATCATGATGTAACCATATTTCTGCCCCCGGCAGGGGGCAATCCAACTGATGAAGACCACCCGAACCCTTTGCTGCCAAGGATGTCAAATAGTCCGCAACAAAATTGGCCTCCCGATAGCCATGAATAATCTCCACAGCCCAAGGACGACCCATAAGCTCCTGAATCCCCTTCAACACACTCCCATGCGGCCCGCTATAATATCATCATACTGTACCATCTCAATGATACTCTTATTGTTGACCTCAACTTTAACTTTTCGGGCCCCGATGTCCCAGGCCAACTGTAACCCTTGGAACAACTCCCATAATTCGGTCCCGGTAATTGAATAGAATCCGATTCATCAAAACCCCATTCACCCATCTCCCATGGTGGTCTCGAATGACACCATCTGCGCTCGCCATTCCCGTCGATGGAACAAGCTTTCATCCGCATTGACCTTTAGCTCGTCCTCCTTCGAGCAAGGATGACAGAGAAGATTGGAACGATACAGAGAAGATTTGCATGACAACTGCGCAAGGATGACACGCATAAATGATTTAAATATGTTGCTATTAGGTTTAATCATTAGAGGGACACACTTTATTTAAAAATATAAATATTTATATTAAAAATATCATATTTTTATCTATATTGTATATTATGGAATTTCAGTATAAAATTATGCATGCTTATTGGAAGAGTATTACTCTACATCCACTAGAGAGGCACATTATTGTTTGGCACTTGGTGAATAGTTATTAGCTGAATGAATTAGCTAGCTCATACGATAGGTGATTAATTATGTAGAGTGTTTGATAATTAATAAAAAAGCCATTTTTATTGGATCGCCACATATCGTTTTTTATTTTTTTTTTATTTTTTTTTCACAATTG